ATTGCTGTAGCTCACTGATAATGTTGTATTATCCAAACTCCACTACTTGTTCCACTGCTGTAGTTCACTGATAATGTTGTATTATCCAAACTCCACTACTCGTTCCACTGTTGTAGTTCACTGATAATGTTGTATTATCCAAACTCCACCACTTTTTCCACTGCTGTAGTTCACTGATAATGTTGTATTATCCAAACTCCACCACTTGTTCCACTGCTGTAGTTCACTGATAATGTGATACTACTTGTCCAGTACTGTAAGAAATGATTTGTCTGATTTATCTCAAGTAATGTTGGTGTTGGGATAGATTGTGTTTATAAATGTTTGTATTTTTTTCACAGCTCTGTTGCCATTGTCAACTTACAGGAGCGGTGGTAGGATGTTGGGTGAAATGTTGCCCTGAACAGTTCCATTATATTTGTGCTAAAGAGAGAGGTAAGTCAACATCTTTAGAAGAATCATTTCTCAAACTCAAAATTTATTCTGTAGTTTGTTTGCTTTTTTTATATATACATACACACACAGTAATGTATGTTTAACCTGTGAAAATCCAGTGGTGGCTTATGTTTTTATATGTGAATTTTGTGGAAAAAAAGAAATGTTCCACTAATAAATTTTATGTTGGTCTTTTAAATGTAGTATTTAAGAATACGGATTTTTGATACGTGAATTCTGTGTTCATCAATCATATGTTTACATTATCAAATTTATACAGAAAATTTATTTAGAATGCTTAAAAACATAATCTCTCTTTGACAATTGTCTTTTGAAATTTTTGGAAACCAAAAATGTCTGTGATTATTCAAAAGATATTTTTTTGGGCAATATTACATGATTTATTTCATTTCCAGGCTATGAACTGAATGAGGAAACATTCTGTGTCCTTTGCCCTGAGCACAAGGTAATAATATTTTACATGAAAAATCTCTTAACACACACAAGTTAATAAAGTAGTTTGGTAGAAAGTGTGTAGTTTTATAGAGAAGTGCACTTAGTAGTTATAATAAAGTAGTTTTGGTAGAAAGTCTGTAGTTTTATGGCGAAGTGCACTTAGTAGTTATAATAAAGTAGTTTTGGTAGAAAGTTTGTAGTTTATAGAGAAGTGTAGTTAGTAGTTATAAATTATAACTACTAAGTGCACTTCTCTATAAAACTACAAACTTTCTACCAAAACTACTTTACTACTAAGTGCACTTCTCTATAAAACTACAAACTTTCTACCAAAACTACTTTTGCACTTATCTATAAAACTACAAACTTTCTACCAAAACTACTTTATTATAACTTAGTAGTTATAGTATGTGAGCAATTAACTAAAACATTTATATTTTGTGTTACGTGTTATGGAAACTTTTTAAAGCTGTATTTTAATTATTGATTTGTTAGAAATATAAGCTGCATCAGATATTTTGGTATCTGTTTTAACATTTTTCTAAACATTATTCACGTGAAGCTGTTAAATAATGTTTCTAAAACTTGGCCAGTTGTAACACACACAAAACCAAGTTATTTGTCCTTTGTGATAAGAAGTCTTACATGAACATAGTTTTATGTTGTTCTTAATTTTCCCCTTTAGAAAGGAGGGGGTAGAGAGTGCTAGACTGGCAAGGAGAAGCTCAAGCTGCAACTTTGGATCAGAAATGATACCCCCTCCCCCCCAAGCAGACTTGAAGGTTTTAAAATGTTTTCTTGATACAAGGAGATATTTCAATGTTTTTGTATAGTGTAAATGATGGACATTTTGAAGCCACTCAGGAAAATGAAATCAGTTCCATTACTGAATTATGGGTAGAACCATTATCATTCTATGAATTCAGAAGAAATTCTAATCTTCTTCACTAAGTGTAGAAGCAACTTTATTCATTCCTTTTGTAAGAACTAGAGAAATCTTCCATTTACAGCACGTGGATTATTAATACTTCCAGATACGGCCTCCAAACTCTTGTTCTGGCCTATTGGCTAGAAATACTTCCAGCTATGGCCTTTGTTATGACAGATATATTCAGTGGAATCCAGTCATGGCCTTTGTTATGACAGATATCATCAGTGGAATCCAGTCATGGCCTTTGTTATGTCAGATATCATCAGTGGAATCCAGCCATGGTCTTTGTTATGTCAGATATCATCAGTGGAATCCAGCCATGGTCTTTGTTATGACAGATATCATCAGTGGAAT